GGGTACGGGAAGTCATGTTAGCACTAAAACAATGAACGTGTTTCCTAGGAGAAATCTCTGAGCCAATCAACTTTACAAAGACAGACTCTGACCTTTAAAAATGAATTAGTGAAATGTGAACTTTAGTCAAGTTGCTGCAGTGATAAATGTGCACATTGTCCTATTCGGTGGCATGACAGGGGAGCAGTGAAAAGGCTGTCAGTCATTCCTTATACATGCACACATATTAAACACTTGGGTAGTTGGATCATGAGCCATGCAAGTGCATAAAGGTCCCGTGCCGCAATTTATTTTCTTTCATAACACTGGTCAACAGCAAATTTTAATCAGAGATGGCTTTACAGTATGTGTCCCCAAATCTATTTTTGAGGTTCATTTTAAAAATGTCTTTACAGTACTTTACTTCAAGTTTTTGAGATATTTTCTTTTTTTTCAGTTTTCATTTTGACCTGTAAAAGCTTGCACAGTCCAGATTTTACTATGCGTTGTAATTTATCGCGATGATGTTTCAGGAAATAAATTCCACCTGTTGCTGAATCTAAACCTTAATTCATAAATATTACTAAATATAATACTAGATTACATATTACATTACTGCCATTGTATTATTATTTGTTATTTATTATTATTATTATTATTATTATTATTAGTAGTAGTAGTAGTAGTAGTAGTAGTAGTAGTAGTAGTATCATTAGTATTAGTATTATGTGCATGAGAGCATTTATCCGATCACAGTAATGAAGGAACAGATTACACACCCAGGGCACTATTTTCTAGCACAACGTGTCATCAAACTGTGTGCTTAGGTGGAGTATTCTTTCTTTAGGGTTTTTTTTGAAAGCAGACTACTGCTGTGAACTGGGTACTGGAAGAGTGTTTGTGTCCAATAGCTGTGACTTGGCCCTGGAGGTGTTTTAAAAAAATATGATAAAGATGATAATAATAATAATAATGCGCTCAATGAATTTACTGTATTTCTTCAAGGATTCAGAGGGTTCGATGCACGCTGTTGTCATATTTACAATATGAAGGAAATACGATGCCATCCACATCAACGGAGCACAGAATCTCCCTGCGTTTTGATAAAATCCACCAATATCGCATTATACCACTAGTACCAGCTAAAGCTGGCCTAAAGTCTAGTCTACTCTTTCTCACCAAATTTTCAGGTGTGCTGGGGCCATGTCATTTTGATGAGGGACATTTATTGCAACTAGATGAGTTCTTTTAACATTTTTGTCTGTTTAGTGTACTCATGGCACAGTGATGCACTATGTCACATAAAATGTTGAATTGTTATCAACACTAGTGGCCAGCCATGTGACATGTCCATCCACATCATTCAAGTGGCAGGATTACTTTGCTGTTCTCGGTGTCTTTGTTCCAAGTCATTAGACTGTAAGAAGATGAGGACAACAAGGCTCACCCTTGGGTGACAGCGTTGAAGGCGATATCTTGATTGTGCTGAGGTCTGAATGTTGTTACAGAGGAAGGAACTAGGGTGTTATCGAAGGCATGCAGCAAAGATGGGCTGAGCGAGACTCAGAACGGCAGGCAGGCCCGCTGCCTTTCGGGTTGATGTAATGTTTACGTAGCCGTCAGTGTGGCCACTTCCTCCACCTCCTCTTCCCCAGATTCAGCCAAAGGGCGCAGACTGGGGACGTAGAACCAGAAGGTCACTGGCTGGGTCCTAGCAAAGATATGTTTGAGCATTCAAAAAGAATTCCAGCATTTAAACATGACTTTTTTTGTAGGACATCCATTCCCTCCCGGGACTTAAGAGTATGGTTTACATCTTCTCTCTGAGTCATTTCCGAGGCTTAATGGCTTGAAACATTGTTTTGTTTATTTTGGCAGAAGAAAATATGTGATGCTTTGGCACACGATTAAAGCACACAAAGCACAGTTAGAGAAGTCCACTTGCTCAGAGATGATTTAACATTAATACAGTATTTCTATAAAAACGACAAGACTGTCAAAGTATGATGAGTGATGATAAGTATCACTCCTATTTTTTGTTCTTTTGGCAGGAACGTCAGACATTTTCATCAAACTAATGGGCACTGATTAGTCAGTTTGTGGACTTTTGTAAAAATTACACAACGCATCGACATTTGACTATATATCTTTGGTTGATTATGAGGTGAAAAGAACAATCAATTATTTAAAATACATATACTGTATTATTTAAAATCAGATGGGAGGATGCCTCTCTAAATGCTCTGAAGTAATGTTTCCGCAACAGTGACACTATTGAGCAGAGAAATTCTGCTCGAAAGAATAGGGCTAAAGCAGAGGTGTGCGTGGACGTAGCTTCCCATAGCAAACTACTTCTTTTTTCAACCACAAACTAGTTGAGACTGAATCAGCAGCGCCTCTGCTGGTAGCAGCCAGGTAGGGCATTCCACTTTATCTCAATTGCAAAAGACATGGTAATCAGTTCAAGCTCATCGGGCCTTGTGCCTGTCCCAAGTATTGCCAATTGAAGCCGTAGGAAAAAGGATGTGCACAATTTGGCAGCCACCAGTCAGGTACTACTGATTCTGTCCAAAATCGTTTCCTGCCTACAGAAGATATTGCAATGAGCTCCGTGACGTTGCACTGGTGGAAGTCTGAAAAATCAATAGACTGAAGAAGGGCCTCAGGCCTCGTAATGCTTCTTCAGTGTAAACTCATACAACAAGCTGTAGGTATTGTTTTTGCCTTATGGAAAAAGAAGCAAGGAACATTTGTATGCCTACGTCTCTTGCAACGGTGATAAAAGGATCATAAGGATTTGGGTCAGTGAAATCTCTGCTGAAAATAATGTTGTTGTTTTTCAACTCATTTGAAGAAACTGACCAGTTCATCCAATTGCACAATACAAGAAAAAGACAGACATGACGGTTGGTTCCAAGTTCTCCATCAGAGCATTGTCTGCATCATGTCCTTCGCCAGACTGACGTCAATGCAGCACAATGAAAATGCTTGCTGAATGCTGCTTTCATTTGCAGTGTGAAAGCCGAGAAAACTGACCTTGGTCCTGGTTTGCCATTCAGGCTTGATATTCACTTTCGTATTAAAAGAACTGCTTGAAAGAACAAATTACCCAATCGCATAGCTGTGCATTATTCTTTTAATATAAAATCCATCCCAAACTATGGGGTGTTTTTAGTTGACATAATCACCAAACAAATACCACAATGCCGCCTAAACTCAAACTAATTGGTGAATGGCAGAGGTGATGGCTCTCGACATATGTTCCAGATGCCAGCAAAACCAGTGAGAGCTAACAAGAGCTAACTTTATCTGGCATCAAAGGTGTATTGTGATAGGGGGCAGTTTCATTTTTTTGTGGCTTTTTTGAGACAGTCGGAGGAGCTTCAACAAAGCATATCGAGAGAGGAACAAGAATATAATCATGTCAAAATCCATCCAGTAAAATGAGCTTCGATCAGCTTCCTAGAGCAGATTGTGTTCAACCTTTGAGCTTCCGCACGTATTATGTCTTACTCATACACAATGTCAACAACTGCGCTCGCAGCCGTGGCACACTCTGCAGCCTTGACCCCCTCAGGTGGCACTGTCATATTTAGAAAGAATAGAGGCCCAAAGGGTTTGAGAGGAAGGCCACTGTGGGTAAAAAAAGAAACAAATGCAAAGTCTGGTCTCTGGGGAGAGGTGGGTGGTTGTGCTGCATTAATTAGATAAGCCCTGGAACTGTGACTGGATTGGAATAGAATTCAACTAAAGTTATGTCCAGTGATTTGCCTTATTTCAATAAAGGTCAATTACTTTTGGTTGGCTTATTGTCAGGAATATGAATTACATTAATAATACATCAATTGATATTTTAGCCTTGCGATTGGCTTGCAACCAGTTCAGGGTGTACCCCGCTTAATGCCTGAAGACAGCTGGGAGAGGCTCCAGCACGCCCGCGACCCTCGTGAGGATAAAACGGTTCAGATAATGGATTAATGGATGGATGGATGGATGGATATTTTAGCTGTTTTATTGAATGCATGATAAAAATGATTAACCTCTCAGCTATAACAGACATTTATGACACTATACTGCTAGAAATGTTATAATTGCCATTTGGGATTGATTTTTAAGTTTTTAGTTTGGAAGCACTTTGAGTTTAGCCTCTTAATGTAGAGTACAAGATTATTTCACACTTAATTTGTCAGTTCATATTAGGTAGACCCTCTGTGATACTCTGTTCTCTCTCTGTTAGGCAAAGTTAATAATTGGTTACCAACTGGGTTTTTGAGAAGTGACGCATGTTTAAATGCTTGGTCTTGCGGTAAACAAAGTGAAAGGAAACATCTGAATGATTCTGGCTACTCAGTAATTTGCAGGCAGAACTAAATTTAGTTTTAAAGCACATATACAGTGCTACTAAGGGTGCATAGTCATAAAGTCTGAGGTGAACTATCAGGTTTCGATCAAATGCCAAAGCACTGAAATCAACAGATTTTCAACAGGATCCACTTCCTTGTTTATGGTCAGGTCATTCAATCAGTTACAGCCTCTTCATCACATAATAATTAACCAACTTCAGACTTAGTGTCGATTTCAAAGATAAATGACGTAATCGAAAGTAACGAATAATCGCAATACGCTTCATGAATTATAGTACATAGAATTATGTACTTAAGGCTCTATTTTCATAGACAATTGGATAATTGGATGGATGGATGAATGAATGGATGTATGGATGGATCAATGTTTTACAAATGATCCAGAAAAGTACAAACATAAACATATCTTGTGATGGAATAGTTGCATTGACACTGCTCTCATGTTCTCACGCTTTCAAGATCAGCATGAAGTTCAAGATATGTGCAACCAACATGTTTTCACACGACTAAAAATAAAAAAAGTATTTGTAAAATAACCTTGTGTTATTGCCACAGATGGATGACCACATGTTTGCTTTTCCGGTTAATGATTCAAAGGCAATGCTGACATCTGCTGTTGCATGCAACTAAAAGGTGTTTTTGTGTGTTTTCTTTCAGGGCTCCCATGTAGACTCTATTGGTGCGTACACACATTCATTTAACACACTGAAGTACATTTTGACCTTCACAATGTAGACTTTCTTTCTTCAGGATTGTAAAATCAAATGTCAAAAGTAATTTGGATGCTTGCTTTTCTATTCATTCCAATCCTTGTTGTTCCTCTGTCTCGCAGATAAGATATGTGACCGAAATGAAACAATATGTTTAATGACAACAACAACAACAATCACACTTGCCTCGCCTTCCAATTGCTTCTTATCCCTTGGGAACATCTCTGGAAATGATTTGCTTACTGGGTTGACTCCTGGAGCCATTTATCAAGTCTTCCTCAACTGTTTCAACTGCTCTCAAAAGGTCACAATGAGTGAGTCAAACTGAAATAAGGAAACTATACAACACGAACTCCCAAATGTTGGGCAATTGTATGAAAATTTAAGCAATAAGCACTGTGACTGACAGGATACCTGCCTCTCAGCTGAGACATACTCCACTTCTAAGTTGCCCTGAACAGAATGGGAAAGTAATCATTTAACCAATATACAGTACTGAAATTCCTCTCTCCAGCCCTTTCTCGAACTCTTTCGGGGGGTTCACGGGCCAAGACATAGCGCTATCTTCATGCTCAGTGCAAGTTTAGCGCAAAATCCAAACTATCTTTGCGCATGGGTGGAGTTCTTTCTTTTGGTATTTTTGTAGATGGGCACAGTTAGAAAGGGCCATTTGCGCTGTTGTTTGAGTGATCACAGACGATTTATGTCCGAGCCAATGGGAGTGCCTCCATTCAATCCTTATAAAGTCAGCGCACTAGAGGCGCACACACTCGTTGACACAGTAAAAGCAGAAATAGACTTGCTGGTTTCCATGCAGGAGATCGAAGCACACAAAATATGTTTCTTCGTGACTGCATGCAGACCTCCATTGGTGGATGAAGTGAAGTTGGCCAGGGAGATCACAGATCACCGCCGAGAAGTGGGCACTTGGAGATCACCTTAGATTCTGATCATTTATATGACCACTTCACCCCCCACATATCAACAGGATGCAGAACCTGGCTGTGCCTTAATCAAATTAATCAAATTTTATTACACGATTTGCACAACAACTTTGATCTAGTCTACTTTCTGCCATCAAATTGTCAGATGCGCCAGGGGAATGTAAAAAGAAAACACCCCTCTGTCTGCCAGAACACCAAGCATGGCCCATTGTGGTGTGCTCAATTCCCAAATACCGTGAACTAGACTTGCCCTGGCATGAAAATTAAGATGCCCCAGTTTTTACGGCAAGCACACGTGCGCTGTTTTTGGAAACAGCGCTCAACGTCCTCGGAGGACGATCAAGGCCCTTGATCATCTCCGAGGACCCCTCCCTGTAGGACGTGCCTGGAACACTTCGCCAGGGAGGCGTCGAAGCCACCTGATCTGGCTCCTCTTGATGTGGAGGAGCAGCGGCTCGACTCTGAGCCTTTCCTGAATGACCAAGCTTCCCATCTTATTTCGAAGAGAGACCTTGCATACCCTGTGAAGGAATCTCATTTTGTCCACTTGTATCCCTCCTTTTATTGGTCATGATCGTAACCATAGGCGATGGCAGGAACTTGGGTCGACCGGTAAATAGAGATTTCGCCAATTCCTTACCTTTTAGCTCAGCTCCCTCTTCACCATGACAGACATGTACAGAGTCCTGGTGAGCTGCAGACTAGGGATAGGTATCAAAGTCAATATATTTTTGTTACGGAGCAACAATTCGGGTGTCAGTTTCAAAGCGTGTCTTTCACAATTGTGACTGTGCATGAATGGAAGAGTTGGCCTTTTGTCTTGCAAACATGTATTTTAAGCACGCTAAAGTTAATTGTCGGGTTTAAAGCAAACAAGACCCGACCGAATGTGCAGCTACCCACTGCCAAGCCATAAAAATACAGATTCGGAAGTACAAAGTACGGTATATTATAATGATGGTAAAGCCGCACACTTCCTAATATGCTTTGATTGAGCGTGGGGAGAGGAACTTTGGGGTGTTGGTGTCAGACAGTGGCTGGCGATGTGCCCATGTTGTCCTTTTAGAAAAAGTGATGCAAAAAAACATAAGTAAAGGTAACCCTTTGATGCGGGCTGAAATGAGGTCTTGTCAGGTGTGCTTTGAGGATATGATGATGTCATTCATGTATGGCGCAAACCAAAATGGTGGTCAAACTCCAAACTAACTACAACTTTGAGGCAATTGAAGGTTAAGGTTTCACAAAATGTTGTCATTATTAGAAGACATTTATGATTTGGGCATTGTGTTTTCATAGCACATATTGCTTTGTAACAAAAACAACACCTATACATTATTGCAAGATTTTTCACAAAGCCCTACTAAATTAATGTAAAAAGAGGCTTAACACTGAACCTGAACTGAACCTTATGTTTCCAGATGGCAACTCAATAATCTTTCTCCCCTTTTGCTCAGAACCTCAAAAAGTCACCAATCTTGAAGTCAACCATGTCACAACATCCTCGATAACGGTGAGCTGGACCAAACCAGAAGGAAACTACTCTTTCTACAGGGTAAAATGGACTGATGGAAAAATCGTCCAAAAAGAAAATGTGACTGTAACATCAAAAATCATGACTGGCTTGTCTGCTGGGACCATGTACAATGTCAGTGTAACTACACTGGCAGATGATGGAATGACTGAAGGCGATAGTGAAACTGTGTCTCTGTACACAAGTAAGTACATCTTTGATTGGGGTTTACCAAATTATGGCTGACTGACAAAACAGCAGCACAGCAGCTCGTTGCTTAGCAGTGAACAGAAAGTTCTCAAACAGTTCCCTTAATGTGGGAAACATTCAGTCGCCCAAAATTACTTCCTCTATTACATTGCCCATCTTTGCCATGTTTGTTGTCCATAAACTATTGTTTGACTACTTGCCGATTCTTATTTTGATCTCTCTCCTCTTGTGTAGTACCAGGTATCATTCGTGAACCCTCTGCTTCCACAAACACATCCGCAATATCTCTGAAATGGAAACCACCTGATGGTGAGGTTTTTGTATATCGGGTGGAATGGCACAACGAAGGAGCGCAGCTCATCGAATACACAAATGATAACTTTGCTGTGCTATCAGACTTAGTCTCTGGTACATCATATCCAGTCACAATTGTTTGCATTGCTGGAGACAACCAAACCGAGGGAGAACCCTACAAATTTGCCGAAGTCACAAGTAAGGCACACGCCTCCTGCCAGCATGGCAAATACACATGGACAAAATTGTCAGTATTCTGTTAAAGAAAGTAAACTCACTGTGGTCTGTGACATAATTTATATAGCCAACTCACAAAACTGAAGAAAATGTCATTTGGATAGATCAGACAAAACTGCAGCTTTCTTTTTTTTTTTTTTTATCTGTAATCATATCAGTGCAGAGTGGGGATCAGATGGCAAAAATAAACATAAAAAAATAAGAATACCTCATTTGAAACTTTGAGGCGTCTCCTCTGTAGTTTGCGTTGCTCCAAGCATCACAAGGGTATCTTGAATCTGTGCAGGGTACAACACAAGCTCTAAACTATCAAGGCATTCCAGGGTGAAATGTGTCAGAGAATTCGACCTCTGCCACTGGGCACTGGTCCTCCAACAGGCTAATGGTAGACATACAGATAGACAGACAGACAGACAAATACCTAGACACTATGATTCACAAGTGTACTGTACCCACAGCATAATATTGGTTAAATAACAGCGCAGTACAAAAGTATCTTAATTTTCTACTTTCCTATTTTTCAGGGCCCGAGAGGCCTGAAAATATAATGGCCACCGCAGGAAATGACAACCTAAAAATTGAGTGGACCTTACAAAAAGGCAAAGCTGATTTCTATGAGGTGAACATTTCCAATGCAGATCTGTTCTATTCCTCCAGCAACAAAACAATAGTCACCACAGCCCATTTTCATGATTTGTATCCCGGGAGAGTTTTTCTCATCACAGTCACTGCTGTCGCTGGACACCTAAGCAGCACGTCCAACAACTTCACATTTGCTACCAGTAAGTTGATGAACTTTTTAAAGATGGTTTCATATTGACCGTGATCTGAAATAGTGTTTCGAGGTGGAAATAAAAATCTCTAAATACATAAATGTCTTTAACTGTTTTCTTTTGGTTTTTTACAAACGATCAGTTCCGACACCACCTGGTTCCCTTTATATCACTCAAAGGACAACTACTTCACTTCACCTTCGATGGGAGACTCCCACCAAGATGCAGGATGCTCCCTTCATCAGTTACCACATCACCTATCAAAAACCAGGTGGTAAAATGCAAACCACTACCACCACCAATAACAGCACGGTGCTGTCACAGCTCTCTTCTGGAACAGAATACAATATATCCGTGTACACAATTGGACCCCAGAATCTGATGAGCCCTGCCGTCCAAAAATCAGCATACACCTGTGAGTACACCACAAAGATCTGCCTTAACACTTTCTGTATTCCAAGATGTTTTTTTAATAGACGTATCCAATTATTTAGTATTTCAATCATTTTCACTCAACAAGTGGAAAGTAGTCATAAACTCATAATTCAAACACCTTTGTTGAATGCTGCTGTTCAGATCCTTATTAAAGAACAGCAAGTTGAGTAAAAAGGACAGTTGGACTTGTGTGTTCAAAAGTTTAGAGAATGTATTATTATTTCACCAGTAAGGTCAAAGAGCAATTTAGGTTAATCTTGAAATATCACCAGAAAAGCGAATATTCCCAACTTTTGTTGCACACTGTTACAATTTCCAAGATTTGGAGGTCAAAGTTAAAATAGATTGACATGGAGAGCCGAATACATTTTTCAAAACTGCTAATATGGCAGCGCCCATGTAAATCTCTTCATCTATTGTTTAAAAGCTTGAGGCTTTCTTTTTAGGACTTCAAGAACACACTTAAAGCTACCTACTCTTTCTTCTAAAAGTGTGTCCAACTTTCTTTAGTTATATCAGCTTCATATTTGTATACTGTGTGATTTGTTATTTCTTTTTTTTTATTTTTTCCTAGTGCCCAACCCTGTGTTAAACCTTGTGGCCAGTCCGATCAATACAACCTCAATTAATGTGGCATGGTCCTTCCCGCATGGCGTGCAGACATATTTCTCCTATTTGGTTCAAACCAGGAACTCTACAGGAGCACTTGTAAATGAACAAACAGTCAGTGATAACATGTCTGATGTACATGACCTGGAACCGGGAACTAAGTACAGTGTTAGCGTCACTACGTTAGCAGCAGCAGAAAGTGAATCCACAGAAGAGCAGACATTCACTTACACAAGTAAGATATTGTTTTTGAAAATTGCTTATATATTTTCTTAACATGGTCATATTGATTATCACAAAAATATTTGTCTAACTTTAATTCTGACCAAAAAAAAACCCTCTTCTCTATATTATGTGTAGTGCCTAGAGCTGTGACTGAACTCAAAGTTAAGGATTATAACACAACAGCCATCCAGTTGACATGGTTCAGCTCAAGTGACTACAAGGACACCTACAGCTATCTGCTAATTGCATTCAAGGACAACACAATGGTTCAGCATGGGACAACTAAAACACAAATGTACACCTTCTACAATCTGATCCCTGGAACTCTTTACAGTTTTGAGGTGTTCACAGTTGTAGAGGGGCTGAATTCTACATTGGAACACACATCACAATACACAAGTATGGCCTCACACGTTTTTACTTTTTTTGAAGTAATAATAATAATAATAACAAGAATAAGAATAATAATAGTCTTTATTCTTATATATGCTGCCCCCCAATGTCCCAAGTTATTGTAAATCACAAGGGTCACGAATGTGCATTCGCGCTCACAATCACTCTGTCAATCAAAACAATCACTTATGATATTGATTACAGTGCAATGGCTAGGAAGCACCGTGTAGTTGTGGTTAACATGTCTGCCTCACAGTCAAGAGGTTCTGGGTCTAAATCTCAGCTCAGGTAGCATATTCTTGCCGTGCTTGCATTGGTTTTCTCCAAGTCCTCTGGCTTTTTCCCACATTCCGAAAACATGCATGGTAGGTTAACTGGAGACTCTAAATAGGCCACAAGTGTGAATGTGAGTCTCAGTGGTTGTTTTCTCAATCTGTGCTTTGTGATAGGTTGGTGACTTGTTAACATTAGCATTTTTACAAATAAAGCTCACACCCACCCCCCAACCTTGAGTATATATAAACCCCTAATTATTCCTTATAGCTGACTGGTATTCTTTGCAGTTCAGTAAATATGCAATATGAATCCTGGACGTTGTACGAGTAATCTGATAATTGTCTTCTTTTTCCAGAACCTGGTGTAGTTTCAAACATCAGAGCCATCGGGACAACGACTAATATGTCAGTTTTCTGGAGTGCTCCAATGGGCCGTGTGGATTCCTACACTGTCCTGTTGAACAAAGACTCAGAATGTGAATATTCGAAGGAGAATCTGACCAAATCAACTCTCAGCACATTATTTCAGAACCTGGAGCCAGGGGTGCTTTATTGTGTGGTGGTGATAAGCAAAAGTGGACCTTTACAGAGTGACAATTCAACCTACTGCAATGCTACTTGTGAGTTAACTCATGATGGTTTGAAGATGATTTGTACTCTATTTTCAAATCGTAACAAATAAAAGTGTTCTTTTTCTCTTGATAAGTTCCAAATCCTCCTGGACCCATAAGTGTTGAGTTGCAGACTGTCAGCTCCATTAATTTCACCTGGGGCCACCCAGATGATATGGATCAAAATCAATACAAATTCAGTGTCAATGGCCACTCCATGACAGAAAACAACTGGTTTCTTTTGAACAATCTCACTTCTGGAAGCCCATACTCCATTTCTGTTGCAACTCTTGGTGTGATGGGTTATAAAAGCACAGAGGTCATGGCAAATAATTATACAAGTAAGTGAATTAGCATGGGAGGATCACTGTGAATCCATAAAACTTACCCTATTTGTCCACATTTTTCTCAGGACCATATTCCGTGACCATGTTGAAAGCGGCAGAAATTACGACAAATGCCGTCATGTTGGTTTGGGAGCAACCAGAAAATAAGCTTAACTACTCCTACCTGGTGCGGGTCACCAATGGATCGTTTCCACCCTCTGAAGTGGTCTCCAGAAACTTGTCCGCCGTTATTTCTGGTCTTTTCTCCGGCTACAACTACACTTTCACTGTCTTCACCCAAGCAGCAGATGGCACTCAGGCATTTCCTCGGATCAACTCCTTCTTTACACGTAAGTACTTTATGAGCCTCATCTGAAGAGAATTTGGCATCAACAACTATTATATAAAGAAAATTATTGATTTGAGATCAAAGAATATCAAATTATACTTTAAGTAAGCGGCTCAGAAAATGGCTGGATGTATTGGTTTAGCCAAAGCGAACAAGCAGAGCAGCAAAATGAAAAAGCAGTTCTGAGCTGAATTGCACAAACCAGCAATGTCATGAAGCTCGTGAAACAGTGACTGTTATCCAGCAACTGCAAACATCAGAGGTAGGCTACTCCCATAATAGTGATGCAGATGTATTTACATCCTAATTTAGTAAACCCGGGTTGCCTCATAATTTTTTTTTTCAGTCTATAATGTAGCTCTCTACCTGTTTACCCTTTTTGTTTGATTTTTGAAATTCTTCTTTTTTTTTTCTATAGAATGAAATGCATCCATTATTGCTTAATTTCTTGCATTCACGACTGTTTTTTATTACTGTTCTTTTCAAAATCCCGAGTTCATCATACCCATGCTTTGGACTGGGACAGCAATGTCCACCATGGTGGGAAATCTTCAGGAAAAATGAAAGGAGCAAATTAGACTAATGATATGCAAATGGAGGGCACAGTGTTGAGTGGTTAGCGCGTCGATCTCACAGTGCAGAGGTCGTGGGTTCGATCCCGGCTCCGGGCTTCCTGCGTGGGTTTTCTCCTGGTACTCCGGTTTTCCTCCCACATTCCAACAACATGCATGGCAGGTTAATGGAACATTCTAAATTGTCCCAAGGTGTGATTGTGCACGCGAATGTGTGCCCTGCGATTGGCAGGGACTGCCAGAAGACGGCTGGGATAGGCTCCAGCACCCCCCTCGACCATTGTGAGGATAAAGCAGATCGGAAAATGGATGGATAGATATGCAAATGATGCTCATTGAACAGCCGTCCTCATATTGATCAAAGGAACTGTTCTACCTGTGTTTTCTAGGACCACATACGATTAATGAACTGGAGGCGCACACCATAAACTCAACTGCAATACAACTGCTTTGGGTGGAACCGTTAGAACACCGGCTCGAGTACACCTATCGGGTAGAGACAACTGGCTGTAGCTTCCAAAACAAAACTGTGACAACGCAAGGTGCAGTGATCTCGGAGCTCAATCCTGGAACACGCTGCACTTTCTGTGTGTTTGTCCAAGCAGGGGATGGCATAGAAGGGAAAAAACGCTGCATTCCTCAGTACACAAGTAAGACTTTAATTTGCCATTTGGATGGATGGACTTTCCTCTCTTAATTTCTCCAATTTAGGTTCTTGTTTTCTTCTCATGTGTTATCAGTGCCAGAGGCAGTACAACTTGGAATCTCCAGTCAAGGTTCAAACATGTCAGTCCTGGTGTCATGGATTATTCCAGCAGGGAATGTACAGCTGTATAGTGTTCACCTGAACAGCTCTTCTATAGCTCAGTCACAAACAGTAGCGTCGAGCAACAACTCGTTGCTTTTCAAGGGGTTGTCTGCTGGAAGGCTGTACAGCGCCAGGGTGATATCCCATAGTGGACCATTCAACGTGTCATCTGAGTTTGTTACAAATGCTACCTGTAAGTACAAATTCACTCATGGAATTTTTCGTCACACACTCGTGTACACCCTCACCAGCCACAGCATTAGGCACCGGCACAATATTATGACGGGACTTGCGTCAAAATTGAATTGGTTAATTCATTTGCAAATCCCCCTCAGTCATGTGCAGTAAAGTTTGCCTTTAATAGTTAAATTTTGAGTGATGACTGATCCAGTTTTCAGTTGAAATAATGACAGATATCATCCAGCCAGCTATCCAAACAAAACTGTACTAAGGGGTAGAAAATATAGTCCTTGTAATTACCAAATAAAACCCATATGCATCTGTCTGAGACAAGCCGCCACCGTTTCTCTCATAACACATTAGATACTTTCCTTTATCAAATGTGTTTTAAAAACATTTTCAACTGACAATCACACAATCTCAGCAGAAGAAGTAATTTAGTGTGTTTCATTCTTTCTCAGGAACATCGACAGACAATTGCATATACACAATGAACTGTTCTCGCAGATGAGGGTGTTGATGTGCTAAACTGAAAACAGTGACTTTCATTGTTTATGAGACAAAGTATCACTGGATCTCAGCAGTCCAATGCAATATTAGTTTATGATTGCAATTTACAATATACAGAATACCTTTATTTTCTGTAGTAATATTATAACTTTTTTTTTTTTTTTTACAATTGTATTATTGGTTAAATTGAACTAATGGCATTCGTCTTCTTGAAATTTGCATAGCATAACATATCGTTGCTTGTTGAAGTTAACACAATGTATTTACCAACTCCCAAAGTTCCAAACCCACCTGGGCCTATTGAGATCATCACTAAGTCCACAACCTCAATAGAAGCAAGGTGGACAGACGCTCCCCAGATGAATGGTACATCATTCTTCTACCAGCTCACAATTGCACCGCCTGAGGGAAGTGGACTCATCAATACCACCGACATTAGTCATACTTTTGAGACCTTGCTCTCTGGGACCCCCTACAACATTTCCATAGCAACAATCGGGGTCTTGGGTTTTAGGAGCGATGTGATTCACGCCTATTTGGTCACCACAAGTAAGCGAAGCAAAGCTAACTACAAAACCAACATTGACTTACTCAGAAACAAAAAAAAAATGCAGCTGACAAATCTTAGGAGTCAAACTAACAAGCAAGGCTAATTAATGAGATTTAAAAAAAAAGACTCAAAAAGCAATTTTTTTCCAACCCTAATTTGGCTAATCCATGAGGTGGTTGGAGTCTGGCATCAAAGTTTGCTAATCATATCGAGCAAGTCAACTCAGTCCATGTTTTTGTCCTAAAGTTTTTTTTTTTTTTTTTTTTTTTTTAAACCTTTGCAAACACAAATTTGCCTGATCTCAGGGATAACTCTTACACCTCTGCAATTCCCTCAGAACCCTTGCATGTGAAGTCTCTCAACACTTCTACAGAGGAGGAAAACATCACAGTCACGTGGGTTCAACCTGATGAATACAAGGAAAGCTATCTTTACGATTTGACCTGGCAAAGCGCAGACTGGTTTTTCAATGGCAGTGCTGTGACTAACCAAACAATGCATACTATCAAAAACCTGGTCCCTGGCAGTAGGTATAACTTTTCTGTCATCACTGAGACGCAGGATGGAACACAGGGTGCTCCCAGAAGGATTTCTGCCTGCACAGGTATGTTCAAAACATCTTACACATAATGCACCAGTGAGAATTGCAGGTTATGCTGTCCATCTCACAAATGCATGCCCCTTACAAATGGGGAATTACTTAAAATGGTAATAAACAGTCATTCCAAATGTATACACTTTGCAAACGGTGCAAGTTATAAATTTGTAGACAACCGTATGTGTCTAAATAATGTTTGTCTTACATATCTACTCCAGATGCAAGCCCGGTGAGAAATGCAACATGTGAAGGTCCAGACAATCCAAAGGCAGAAATTGTTTTGACCTGGACTGAGCCCAGAGGCCAATTTCGTGATTTTCGCATCACTATGAATAATACGAAAATAATGACTGGGCCGAGAACCTGTAACCAAAGCTGTAGCCAGACCATCTCCAACCTAAGTCACTACACTTCATACAACATCATGATGGAGACACTGAGCTGTGGACAACCTGCGACTCCAGTGTCTCTCTACTGCAGGACTGGCATCACAGGTTGGACATGTTTTAAATTTAGCTTTCTTGCTAAAGTTACAATCAATATTTTTGCTGTCATGTTTTGGCAGACCCACCAATTCCAGAAAACTACGAGTCACTGGCTAGTGTGAACGAGAAAGTATACAACAGATTCACCATTCAGATCAATTCCAGCCTGATAGCTGACACCAGTGGGCCAGTCACTAATTTTGGTGTGCTGGTGACTGAAAATATAAAAGGTTTGTTTAATTCACTTGTTTCTTATTTTCACAGGATTGTCATTTCATTCTCGTCCCTCGAAATGATAAAGTGTTTTGCATTGTAAGACTATTAATTGCATTGTAAGACTATTAATATTTTAATGGGTCTTTTATGCCTGTACCTTCAGAATTTGACACGGCTAATATGAGTCAGTACTTGGGGAAAACATATCAACAGTGGATTGACAACCAGTCTCCGGTATATCTGGCAACCGTCAAGGAGAGAAACGCTCGATCACGCAGTCAAGAGAACATGTTGTCTGTCGAGATTGGAGATGGTTCGCAGTGGAAGGGCTACACCAATGGAGCCCTTCGCGGCAATCGAAGATATCAGTAAGACTTTAAAAACATCTTGTACATGCAGCAGAAAAATGATTTGGCATTCATCCATCCAATATAACTTTTGCATTGAAAATATATCTTTACCAAGATAATTTTTCTCGACATTGTGGATTAATTCAACCGTGTTGAATTATTGTGGTAGCGATAGTTTGCAGCGGTGTAGAACTGCTGTGCAACATACCAAGTGTTATGAACATTTTGCTCTTCACAGATCTAAATAAGATCACCAAGGTATTTTTTAATGTAGTTTTAAAGAGATAACAATAGATATTGCTCTTTAATTATTTTTCTTTGTAATCACGAATAGCGGCTTCTTCCTAAAATATGAATTCAAGCACAATAAAGTCTACCCTTACATACTGTAGATGCATCTACTTTTCTCAATAATTAAAATTAAAAAAAAACAAAAGATGGGTACTGTAGGTGCACCTATTGGTATTGTTCCCTTACTCCAGTCATTTTTCCACCAAGCAGTCCGGTTGATTTTTAATGGCTCTTTTGTTTTGGCGTTAGCATCCCCAAGCAGCATACTAAGCCTGAGGTCTTGTTTAAAAAAAGGGCCATGCAGCAGTCGCAAACTTGAGTAGAAATAGCGCAGCGCACACATGAATAGAAACTGCTAATCTGAATCGTTACATATTCCATCCACGTAGCCTGAATGTGTACATACTGTATCCAAGTGACTTCTTCTTAGATATTATTGTGGAGATAGACTTATCTGCAGGTATCTTAAAGTAGGCTGGGCTACTATGTAGACTCAATACTCAACGTCCTGCATAGGAATTAGGGAAAAAGAAAAACTGTTGGAAACTGTGCATCACTAATATAGGCACAAAAAACATAGAATGGATGGAATAATTAAGATTTGGACCTACAGCAGGTATGACTTCCACTACCAACGTTATGCAATATTCATATTCATCACTTAACTGCAATAGTTGTTTTGCTTTCATTTCTTTTATCCTGCAGGTTTGCCATTGTGTTGTTCACTAGATTATGTCTGCAAGACCACCTAATCAAGGTTGGGTCAGACGCATCCAAGGCCTCAATCACAAATTTCTATCCAATGATAAAACTCCCACAGGACCCAGGTATGGTGCAGGTTCAATGTGAAATGCTCATATCATGCGTTTGTCTTCTTTTTCTTTCAAGTTTTGTCATAATATTTGTCAATGTCATAGTCGTCATCACCGTTGCTGTCGGAGCAACATTGGGGATTTTCAGCATTCTTTTCATCATTCTTATTGGCTTCATTGTTTACTGGAAAAGGTTTGTCCCATTCATGAAGTCATGTCAAGTCACTTGTGTGTATGCGGCAAGGCTTTCAACTCTTTGTATATACGATGTAGGTTAAACAAAAAAGAATCCTCCGACATCCAGATTCATTCCTTGAGGTAAAGACGTTCATTTCACTTATCATATGTACCTGCATTTCAATTCATCTTTTTCTTCCCGAACTGTCGGCCAGTGTTACATTCTTTTTCTTTTTAGAGCCAAAGTGTAAGTATGAACCTTCAAAATGAAGGTGAAAGGAATCACTTTGCTTTCCAAAAAGTTCTCATTCCTGCACTGTTGTCTTCCAAGCAGAAGTGCCGCAGTCAGTGTGGAGGACTACGACGCTTACTACAAAAAGCAGAAAGCGGACTCTAATTGTGGCTTTGCAGAGGAGTTTGAGGTAAAACATTTGTTCCACATCTTTTTCAAAAATTGATATTTGTCTAGTGTGGCTTCAAGGTGGAGTTTGCAGTTTTCAAGCTGCTAACAAGAATTTGAACTCCCCCCTCGCAAGATGACGTTAGCCAAGGCTGCTACATTGGTAGCATGGCTTATTCATATTGGAAAGCTGCAGACACATAATTTTTTTCCTTGTACCGTTATATCTTTTGGAACGTACAATCAAATAAAAATATAAGAGAGATGATAACATTGCCTAACAACCCAGTGGGAACGGTGATTTTCCAAGCCCAGCCATGTCCAATTCCTTCTTTTTTTCATGAGGATGTTGCGTGGCCCCTATTTTCGTGCCCAGCGCAAGTCTAGCGCAAAGTCTGGTCGAACTAATGGGGTATAGCGTGCAGTCGACCCAAACGCACAGGGGAGCCGGCATGGAGGCCTGAGCCTCATCAGCCTGCCGCCATAGAGACTGGGGAGCACAAGTGTCACGGGGGGCTGAGAACACCGCTGCTTAGGAACGTGCGCTAGGAAACACTCGTGGTACGAGAAGATGGCGGGAAACGAAGTGGCTTGGAAGGATGTGACTTCGGGTACAAAAAGCGGGTGAGATTACAAGAGGAACCGGGTGGTTGGAGTCCATTCAGGAAATTGACGTGCACAAAGTACATTCATAAGGAGCTCCAAGAAGATCTCCACTCATGCATGTTGTAAAGTTGGCCAAGGCGATCACATATCACTGCTGTGAAGCAGGCACTTGGAGCGCACCTTCCAACCTTATCCCTGGTGTCCATGTGTGGCACTCCCACACACCCCCAATCATCGTTGTGCCGCTGCCAGTGGGGTGATTTTGAAGATATAAAAAAGATTATAGTAATAATAATGCATTCAGTGAATTATTTTCTACAATTATTTAGAAAGTTTGAGACACCGTTTTGTCATACTGTACTTGTGAATGAACTCTAGTGACATCCAGCACACATGTGCCTAGAGCGCAAATTTGTCGGTTTGTGCCAGCGCCTCGATCAAATTCACCAAAATTGCGTGACACCACCTGTGCCACAGCTTTGGTCTAAAATGTAAGTCTACTTTCAGCCACCAAATTGTCAGGTACGCAGGGGGCATGTGAAATAAAACACCCTTGTTCTGCCGGAACGCCCAGCATGGCACGGGGCCAGCTGCCAAATTCCAAACACGCTAAAAATGAAGCTTTCACCTGCACGAAAATTAAGACGCGCCACTTTCGACACCCAAGCGCACGTGCCTTGCTCACAAAAATAAAGCCCTAAGTGTACCGACGCCTGAACGTCAATGATTGACACACAGTTCGGTCAAGCCTTGTGCCGCATCTGATTGACTATTCTTGTTGTAGCGTGACAACGTTTTAAAATAATTAAAATAAAAGTCATAAGACAGTGAGGGATGCATTTTCAAATGATAATTTTAATAATCCCTGCAGTATGCATACTAACACTGGGTTATGGTTTTACTTTCTTTCAAGGACCTAAGGCTGGTTGGTACATCTCAGTCAAAAGCATGTGCCCTGATTCAAGAGAACAAGGCCAAGAATCGCTACAACAACGTACTTCCCTGTGAGTCACCTGCATACTGTAGATCCAACTCGACAATACTACTTGTCTGTCTATAAACTAGTATTCCTTGTACTTGTACATATAATCAGTAAAGCCATCCATGCCTCTGCTATATGCCACAAAAAAAAGAAATACTGTACCCCATAAAATTATCTACACTTGCATAATCTAATGAGATCCAGTACAAGAGCTGTCTGAAATTTTAAAATAAAAAAATACCAATGTTCAATTATGTTGGTCACATAAATAATAATTCTACTTTATGATTACTATTGTTAGTCCTGTTACTTCACAACAAAGGTGTTCTTGGTTTGACTCTGTGTTCATCTTACAATAGGTAGCCTGCCTTTCTCCTTCAGCCCAAAGTAGGTACATGTTGTACCTCACATCACATTTCGGCAGATGTTCTACATAGTGTCAAATTAGTAATTTCTCTACCGTCAGTCATGACTGGGAACTATTATTGCAAAAACTGAATTTTGATACAGCTCTTATATGGATGTCGTTCTATTATAAGAGTGTACTTCATGAAGTGTCGTGACTGGTGAACTACAATCATGAAACTTTTCTTCCCAAAAATAAAGACATAAACACTTGCCCAGCACACCCATTTTCATCATAATTCCCTTGTCTAATGCACCCACTTCTCATACCTCCTAGATGATTCTTCTAGAGTGAAACTCTCTATCATTCATGGAAGTCCTTATGATGACTACATCAATGCTAACTACATGCCGGTGCGTACTGACTCCTTCTGCCCAAGTCATTGCCTCGTCATTCCACACCCTTTGTCTTCACCCCTTCATTCATATTGTTTCCAGTGAGTCTGGTGGAAATCTGAACTGAGTTGATCTCTGTGCATGGACTGACGTTTCTTTTGGCAGGGTTACAACTCCAAAAAGGAATTTATTGCAGCTCAGGGTCCTTTGGCCAGCACTGTCAAGGATTTTTGGAGGATGATATGGGAGAAGAATGTGTACACCCTGGTCATGCTTACACGCTGTAATGAGCAAGGCAGAGTGAGTATCACACACACTATACACAAAACTGTCTTCAATAATGCTGAACAAGGACATTTGTATAGATACCCTGCCAATGCACCAATGCCAAGTCATTAAGTTGCATATTATTCAAACAAAGCAATGAACGCTTAGTGTCAAAAACGGGACTATTACCGACAATGCTGTCTGCAGAGAGGTTTGCATCAGAAGGTGCTGTTTTTCTTTCTTTCTTTCATCCTTAGTTGTTTGCTGCAGCTCTATGATTGCGTGAGGCGACACACACATTACAAAATGTTTTTTCTTTCTTTCTTTCATCCTTAGTTGTTTGCTGTCGCTCTGTGATTGCATGCGGCTACACTCGCATTACAAAATGTAATGTATCTTGTATACCTTTTTTTTCTCCTTTTTCTTCGCTGTCCCGTTTGGCTGCCCAGTCAGGAAATATTTTGAATCTGTATGCCTTTATGGTTTGTATTAATATACTCCTTCTGTGGTTGTTTATATTTTGATGGATATTTATTGGAAATGAAGTCAGACAGAATCGGATTTGAGAGGGGATACAGAAAAAGAACAAAGCAAAAAAAAAACAACAGATAACAATAACAGTATAAAACCATATGATGTATGACAAATGGTGTTACATAAAGTTGTGTTCTATCTAAAAGGATAAAATAATATGTTTTTGATGTAGAGTATTCATTGTTTTCTCTCTACAGATCAAATGTGAGCAGTACTGGCATTCAAGCACCAAGCACTTTGAATACATCCGTGTAACAACAACTTCTGAGATACCACTTGATGACTGGACCATTAGGGACTTCGAAATTAAAAATGTAAGGGAAGCCCATAAGCAATAATCATATTATTTGCCTTGCTGAACGGTGATTGTACTTTGTAAATCCGAATTTTCAACAATACGTGATAGTGAGTGTGCTCCAAGTAGGAACATATGGATGGACAGGAGAGACATCAAATTGTGGTGGCTCCCCACTCTTGTCCCAGAAGTCAAGTTTGATCATCATGTTACATTTTTGACACAGAGAAATCAATAGTTTTCGTGAGCAACCACGACTCCCCTCGTGTGATCAGTAAATTCCTATGCAGGACCCGCAATATTAGGCAACATGTCCTATTTTTATGAAAAACATGCTCAAAAGTTTGTTGTTGGGATTTCAGTTACCTGTTCTATCTGTTAATGCTCACCCATGTGTGCCCGTAGGTGAAAACAGCAGAGACTCGTTCAGTTCGCCAATTCCACTTCACAGCCTGGCCCGACCACGGGGTGCCGGAAACCACTGAGCTTCTAATTAGCTTCAGACACCTGGTCAGAGAACACATGGACCAATATTCCACCAACTCCCCCACTGTGGTCCACTGCAGGTTTGTTAGAATAAACAGTCAGGGACACTTTGAGAATGTTTGTAGTCTTGGGGGATTCACTGGCACACTGCATACAATCAGGTACTTTCTGGAAAACTAAGATTCATCTAAATCCAGCTGATTATAAACTCACCATGATACAAAGATGAACTGTGAGACAGACATGCTAAACACTGTCCTGCCTTTTTCATTTTTTTCTGCAAGGCAATATGACTAACCATACTAAGCTGAGTAAATAACTTTCTGACCAAATAATATACAGTTGTCGCCTGGTGTCGGAACCAATGTTGAGGCGCGTAAACATGTGTACCCCTTCCATGCCGTGTAAATGTGCACCTGTCATTGTGTCTCCCTTTCAGTGCTGGGGTGGGGCGGACTGGCACCTTCATAGCCATTGATCGCCTCATTTTCCAAATTGAAAGGGAAAATGTGGTGGATGTGTATGGCGTCGTCCATGACTTGCGCATGCACCGCCCACTCATGGTGCAGACAGAGGTGCGTGCAATACTACATTCAGAGTTCTTTGTTTAATAGTCAGACATGGACAATGTGGTTAACTTCTAGATTTTATGTCTGTGCAGGACCAGTATGTGATTTTAAACCAATGTGCAATGGATATAATCCGATCAAGGACTGGAACTAATGTGGATCTTATCTACCAAAACACCGCTGCACTCTCCATTTATGAGAATGTGCAACCCAGAAAAGATTATTATAAACATGGGAACCACAATACATAAAGCCATACTTTTTTCTTAAACACCATTTGTCACGTTCTTGTTTTGGAATCTTCTTGTTCTCTGAATCGAAAACTTGTAATATTTTACAATGTAAATTGTTCACTAACTATTAAACTGGTCTGGTAGTTTCCTACAACATATTTGAATCATGTAGCCGTCTATTGAAATTATGTTGGTTACTACTGTATATGACTGCTCAGGTTTATGGCTGTTATTATTAGTGACACTTTTAAAGTGGAAAGAGAACGTGTCTTGAATTGAATTATTGGTCTTGTGCCTCCCCACTGTGATTTGAAACCAGCAGATGGCACTCAAGTGACACCACATTGAAACAGCGCTTTTAATAGAATTGAATAATATGAGAGGTTATTATGGTTTTGTACATCCTATGTTACTTTCAACTGTGCAATGAGTACTTATTTTCTGTTATTTAGTTTGTTTTTGTTATATGTACATATGATGGTGTTTGTGAGTTTTTTTTTGTTTGTTTTTTTTTCACTGATGTGAACAATGCACTGGATGCATTTATGTTTCTCATTTTGAAAGTAAAGAGGCAGTTTTTATCAGATGTATGATTTGGCCAGTTTGGAACAGTCATGGGGGTTGGGGGGGAGTCTCGACTTTAGTTTACGGTGGTATTATTTGCTATGCTATGCTTGCTGGTACAATGCAGAACTGTAAATGACCCACATTTATGATTCGGGTGATGTGTAAAGCAAAATGGGGATGTATGTTATTACCTTACACTTCTTGCTTGCTTTTATGAATGCCACCAGAGGGGCTCTCAGTTATTCGTGTTGTTTGAAATAATGTGCACGTTAATGCAAAAACATTGGCCCCCGACTCAAATAAATGGTGTATACACAATTTTATGTTTGTTTTGACTTTAACTGATGCCAGCTTGAATTGTGTATTATTTTGTATCATTGTCTCAAGACATATTTTAGATACAGCAATTTCAGGGTCATCCGAATCATAATAGTGACAATTCATCTGACATATTTAAATACAATATGTAAGATGGCAGCACAACCATTCATACACATACACAATTATGGACAGTAAGAGTCTCCAATAAACCTGATGTATTTTGGGGGACTTCTTATCCATCCATCCATCCATTTTCCGATCCGCTTTATCCTCACAAGGGTCGCGGTGGAGTGCTGGAGCCTATCCCAGCCGTCTTCGGGCAGTAAGTGGGGGACACCCTGAACCGGTTGCCAGCCAATCACAGGCCACACAGAGACGAACAACCATCCGTGCTCACACTCACACCTAGGGACAATTTAGAGGGTTCAATCAGCCATGCATGTATTTGGATTACAGGAGGAAACCGGAGTACCTGGAGAAAACCCACGCACACCCGGGGAGAACATGCAAACTCCACATAGGAAGGCCAGTGCTGGGATCGAACCCACGACATCTGTACTGTGAGGTCGACACGCTAACCACTGGACCACCAGGCCGCCCGGACTTCTTATTATTACCGTTATTTCTTCCAAACGACATCCATCCATCCATTTTCAACACCGCTTAGCTTGAACAGGGTCGCGGGGGTTGCTGGAGATTTTCCCAGCTGACTTTGGGGGAAATGCAGACTACACCCTGAACTCAGGGGTGTAGTGGGCGTGGTACGCGGGGGTACGCCATCCACCCACTTCTCCCGACACCACATTCAATTTTTTTTGAAATGTTTGTTGATCATTGTTATAATGTGAGTTATGCTTAATAACGTTGGCCTGTGATTATTTTGGAGTAGTAAAACATTAAATTTAACGTTAGTTCAACTGGTGTTGTAGCCTATGATTGATGTTCTGTATGTATATATAGAACATCCCAGAATCGCGTACACCCACTTAAAAAATCCCCACTACACCACTGCCTGAACTGGTGGCCAGTCAGTCGCAGGGCGCATATTGAGACGAACAATCATTCATACCTGCATCCACACTGCCACTCAGTGGCAATGTGGATTCAGGTAAACAGCTGTTTGTTTTTTGTTAAATTATGGTTCAAGTGAATGTAAATGGGGTAACACAATTATTGCAAAATCTTTCTTTAATTATTATTTATTACACATGACAATTTGATATTTCAGTACAGATTTTAGTAAGGAATATGGAAGTTGACACACATTATTTGCTTTCAAGGGCCACATAAAATGATGTGGCAGGCCGGATCTGGCCCCCAGGCCTTGAGTTAGACACCTGTGCACTACAACATCAGCAACTCCGCCTCTCCCCCCCCCCCACACACACACATGCGCACACATGTGCGTGCACACACACCACACACACATTTTATATATATATATATATATATATATATATATATAGTGAAAAAGCCAGGAACATTGGTAGTCTTTGTAAAAGGTAACACATCAAAGTTGGAGAAGCGTCAAAATGATGGCCCTGGTAGTTTTTGTGCTAAAGATAGCTAGTGTGGTCATCACCAGGCAGCTCTTTTGCACTTTGGCCAAAATACTGTCTGCTGTTATTGATATTTTTTCAGTAAGCTGGTGGAACAGTAGCGCATACTTTAATTTAATGTGCAATGAATACGGTAGAGTAAATGCATAGCTGTTTAACCTCATTATTTAGCCTTATCTTGTACTCATTTCATAAAACTTCTCATTTCTCCATTGTCTTGAAAGGTAAACGCAGCAAATTTATGTGACCCCGGAGAACTAAGCAAACATGTTAAACTTACCAAAGCCATTCAGAGCACAGAGAAGAAGAAAAGGGAAGGAATATTGGTTCAAGGTGAAGTTGTTGCTCCTTTTGATTTGTGCAATGAGAAGCCGCTACAGCAAGTCCCTTGGTGATTTGTTTGACAGTCACAAAACTGTTATGAAAAGAAAAAAATGTTCCATTTTATCTTGTAAATTGTGTGATGTTGTCTCATTTAAAGCTGTTTTGACAATTGAACTTGTCCTGTAAGTATATGTAAATCGACGATGGTGGTGGGGCAGGCAAGGGGGTGGGGGCAAATGTAATTTCGCCTCAGGCGTCACATTGGCTAGGGCCGGCCCTGGTTGCACGGTTGCCTCCGTGGTCCTTGTGGATATGACGCCGAACTGGGACGGGTGCTCGGAGACTATTGCATGATCCATAAAACACGACCGATACTGTAAGTTTGCGATTTGGGGGATTCTTCGCTACATCAGGTCGGTTGAGATAACTTGCTATTTTTAGCCAATGTTTCTTATATTTGTCAGACTAACGTGCAGTCGATGGTGTTATTCTCCACCACTTGCTTGCTTGCAAAGATTACACTGACTGGCAAGTATTCGGACATTTTGTGCTATGAAGTGGGTGTTATTTTGAAATACTTATCAGTGCGCCGTTTGGAGGAATTCGCCCACTTTGGTGTATTGTGAGGCAGGGCGCAGGCTAACGTGTTTAGCTTAGCTTTAGCGACAAGTCAGGCTTGGCCACGTTAACGAGCTAGCCGAGCCTCATTCCCAGTTTTTTTTTTTAATTTGTATATTTTACTTCACTGCCCTTTAGTTCAATGGCAACCATAAACAATTGTGATTGATGTAAACTGTGGTAGCCCTTGGAAAGCAATGCACGTCTCTCTGGACGCTTGACCCCTTGATGGCGTATGTATGTGGTTTTATCGAAGGAAAAGATGTGAACCCCTAAATAGGCACATGTGACAGAGCAGTCTCTCGAGATAAACATCAAGGATGAAACGTGAGTAGGATATTCATCCTTCAAAATGATGCACGACTCAAGCTCACGAAACGGGAATGTAACGTGAGAAATCAAGTGGTGTGTGACATGACGAGGGATTCAAAGATCACACTAAGTGGCTGGGAGACATTAAAATTGTGTCCTGTGTAGGCGTTGTCGTTTTCTGATTGAGCGTGTTGACTGAATATAACCAGATTCTAAATTGCAAACTGCGGTGTCCCCCTTTTTTCTGTTTTCATCAAGTGCAGCGTCATTACAAGTTAGTAGAGTATTTGGGTCTTTGTGGACCAGTCTCGACTTTATTTAGTATAATTAAGTGAAACATCTGCCGTGTCCTCTATTCACAACACGATCGGTTTATTTTGACACCCATCGTCGTAGTGGAATCTTCGAAATGTTCATAAAAGAAACATGCTGTACTAAATGTGTCGACCAGCTCAGCCTCTCCCATCTGTTTTGACACAGATAAGAAGCTCGTCATATAGAAATGTAGGACTTAGCTGCAAGTGAGAGTAACACTAAATGTACAGTAACAGATTAACAAACACTAAAGATGGTTTCAAAGTATCAAGTGGTGTGCTTTGGCTTTAGTCTGTACTCTTTCATCTATAACTGCTTCAAACAACAAAGTGTATGCAGAAAAGTGGTTAAGATTGCATCACTGTCTGTCTGTGTCGTATGTGTTGTGTTGTATTGTTTTGTCATTTTATGTTAACTGTTTGCTTGATGGCGGCGCGGGTACCCACAGCGGCTCCTTTCTCTCCTGTGGTTGAGAGGAAAGAAATTTCATCTGTCCTGTATGTTGCACATAGAGCACATTTGACAATAAAGTTGACTTGACTTGATTTGACTTGTTTATTGGCTGAAGAAGGACAACATGCCATCAACTTTTGGGCACCGAGCTGCATCCACGCAGACCTCTGCTATTAAAGTCCTACAGGTGGCATTATTCTGCTTGCATTGAAACAAAAGTGCAGAACAGTCAAAGAAAGACTTGCACGTTCCATTAAAAATAATATTAAAACCAGTCAATCAAACGGATCGATTTTGGCAATGAAAAAGGGGCATCCCAGGGGCAATTATTCATTTACATATTGCTCCAAAACTGATTGATGTCATGGAAAATGAATGTCAGTTTGCTGAGCAAAAAAAAAAAAACCCAAAACATGTAGTGATCCTACTAATGAAAAAAAACAGCATCATGACAACATAGGCCCTTTTATGACATATATGGAATTTCACCCACCCTTTTATTATCAAGAGCGATAAATGTTGAATGACCCTGTAATGCCATTCTGATCAGTAATACTGACAGGCCAAAGGAAGTGGGTCAAACGATCAATAAAAAAATCCACTCTGCTTATGTCTGTGTTACTTTATACTCTGAATATCTAATGTCCTTTTGATGAACGCGAAATCATCCATTGCCCCCCACCCCAAAAAATTAAAATAAATCACCCCCCCACCCCCCACATTATACCTTTAATAATGATTGACATCTCCTGGTGTTGGTCTCTTAACGCTAACGTCTGCACGTGACGTATGACGTTCTACCTTGCGCAGACGGGGATATTTAACGGTGTTGCTCCCTAAGCCTGTCAACTAGAACTCCGGCTTTGCTCAGCCGTTGGATGATAAATGAGAGTGATGGAGGAGAATGATTGCGAGTGAGAATTTGAAGAGCTGTTTGAGTCACGTTTCGTGGGTGATAACTGCTGTGTTTTAATCACTGCTCGTTGGAGCAGCAAGGCACAACAGATGTCCCAGCTCTCATGCTGTGCAGTGGTAAATACTTAAAGACGCCATTTTCAAGCTCACTGTAGAGCTGACCTCTACAGCCCTGTTCCTGCTCTGAAACCAGCTGGGACTTGTGTTGCTTGCCCTCTGCCACCCTCTGCATAACTATTTGAACATACACTTAAGGCATACAGTGGAAACTAAAAGTCCCTGTAAAATGCAAATAATTATGTTGCTAGATTTGTCCTGCAGATTTGAATGGTTACAACAAATGCCAAGTATGTATGTATGTATGTATGTATGTATGTATGTATGTATGTATGTATGTATGTATGTATGTATGTATGTATGTATGTATATGTAATACCAGTTAAAAGTTTGGAATTTGCAATTCAAGTGTTTTTTTTTTTTTTTAGTATTTAAAAATCCCTGTATTGTAGATGAATACTTAAGTCATCGACATTATGAAGAAATATTGGTGGAATGATTTGGTAAATAAAAACATGCCATTCAAAACAATATACTTTATAATTTAAGTTTCTTCAAAGCAGGACCATTTTGGCCCAGATAACAACTTGGCACAGCTTGGCATTAGGGCCAGACATTAAAGACAAAAAAAATAAAATAAAATAATAATAATAATCACGATTATTTTGTTTGAGATTCATATAACAATTACTAAACTGATTATTCATTTATTTCAAGTTAGTAATCATTGCCGAACATTGAACATTTTATTCGGCAACACTCTTCTTTTTGTCAAGTACAAAATGACCTTGTAAAAAAAAAAAAAAAACCTTAAATCAAGCCTCTTGAATTGTCGTTGTTAACCATTACCTTAATCGTATTTAATTAATCTTGGGTTATTTTCCCAAATCTTGACGGCATGTGGAAACGTGTGTGATATGAAAAGTCTGCATATTTGTATCCTTGGATTTTAAGGAAAGGAAAATTCCTTGAATCCTTGAAAACTTTATAACTTAAAAATACAAGGAGAAAATAAATTAGAAAGTAAAGGTCCCCAGAATATACTTATTTTCAAAACAACTTTTTATTTATTTTTAATTCTCGAGACCCCGTGGCACTCCATCAAAGAATCCTAGAGCTGGACCTCTTAAGACCATACTCTTGGAGATTTGTAAGGTTATGCTATTTTAAAAAATGTAAAGTGAATGCTGTTCTACTTGTTTAATCTCCTTTTTTCTCCAAAAGGTATCGCTAAGAGAATCGATAAAAAATTGAATAGTTAAACCGAACCAATATTGGAATCGTAAAACTCTTATTAATTCCCATCATATATATATATATATATATATAGAGAGAGAGAGAGAGAGAGAGAGAGAGACAGAGAGAGAGAGAGAGAGAGAGAGAGAGAGAGAGAGAGAGCGCCAGCCAGCGAGCGAGCGAGAGAGAGAGAAGGTGTGTGGACCCATGTGACCCCACCCACAGACCCTCAAAGCCTCAGTAGCATTGTTGAAATAATGTGGCCCCCTCCATTGTATGAAATATCTTGCAAAATGTTTGTGTTTAGACCTTTTTATGAGGAACCAGTCATGCTTAAAATGTCACATTTAAAAGCTTCCCAGTTGTGTTCCCTTAAGTTATGTTTGACTGTGGAAATCGCTAATATTTTTTCATCTTTCAATGGACGGAAACCATAACAAGGACGTCATTGTTGAGGTTACTGGTTTAGACACACACACACACACACACACACACACACACACACACACACACACACACACACGCACACACACACATATTTAGTCTGTGAAAATAACCTTTGTGATACTTGAAGTTTGTAGGCTGCAGGCATGTGTATTTTTAGACTGGTTTTAACATTATACCTCCAATGACCCTTTCATTTTTATATCTTGAATGATCGTTCAGCAGTTCGTGTATTTTATAGTCGGCAGCAACTTCTCACTGATCCTGAGAACCGCGTCAGGAGCCGTTTAGTCTGTTTAAATCAATGGTCTTAAATCAGGACGCACGATAACTATTTCCACCGATAACCGAAGACTTCCTGTTTCTTCTCCACACCAAAACGATATTTGAAATTGCTACTGTGGTTCTGACTTGACCTTGTCCCATAGTCTGAAGTGTCACTTGTTAATATTTCTAGAGAAGAAAATACATTTTGTTGCTTATCACTAGGGGTGGGCTAAAAAAAAAAAAAAAAAATCACATTTTTCTAAAAACTCGCTAATTAATCGCCAATGATTCCAATCCTCTCAAGATATTCTAATAGTTCAGAACATTAACGGTTCTGCATAAGTTCATAGAATTGGTGATTGTGATGAAATCCTTCTGTCAAATAAAATGAAATTGTTTAAGGGTATATATATATATATATATATATATATATACACACACACACACACACACACACACACACACACACACACACACACACACACACATCAATTGTCTAAATGCTGGAGCCCATCCCAGCTGTCTTCGGGCAATAGGCGGGGTACACCCTGAACCGGTTGCCAGCCAATCGCAGGGCACAAACAACCATCCGCTCTCACACTCACACCTGGGGACAATTTGGAGTGTTCCATTAACGTGCCATGCATGTTTTTGGAATGTGGGAGGATACCGGAGTACCCAGAGAAAACCCACGCGGGCACAGGGAGAACATGCAAACTCCACACAGGGAGACTGGAGCCAAAATCGAACCCTGCGCCCATGGTATATTTAATCAATAAAAATCAAATTAATGTTTTAATAAGCTATTATTAAGAAGGCACTTTTTACTTTGCCTTTCATTTTAATATTAGACAAACTAGTTCAGCTCAATTAAAAACACATTATTTCTCCACAGTCCATAGACCAGACATTTCATGTCACATCAGGAGTTCCTGTGCACAGGCGTCCTCTAAATGCAATTTTACTCATGCATTATTTTTCACTCAAAACGTTAAAAATGTTTCTTCAAGCCACATTTGCAGGCTGTTCCTTTGGCTTGACATTAGGAACATTTGCAATTTGAATACCTGTTGCACAGAATGTTCCGCTACTTAGAACTAGGAAGGCAACATATTTAGTTTAACAAATCAGCAGTTTTGGAATATAATTACAGACTACTTCTATGCTATGCTGCCGCTTTGGTTTGTTTCAGTGGGAAAAGGCAACATTGGACTCAGTCAATAGTTTTGCTGTCAGATGAACTGTTACCCTCAATAATGTTTTTTTTTTTTTTTGTTGTTGTTTTGGGTTTTTTTTTATTGCCGTGAGTCAACAATTATTCAAGCAGGGTCGTTTTTTCATTTGCAGCTTTCCAGAGTTAGGAGTTGACTACCAGTGTTGTGTGAGCAATTGGCAAATAGTCCCAGAGAGGCGCCTCCCTTAGGACTGAGCCTGGAGCCGGGAGGTTTTGAGTCTCCTCCCTCCTTAGCGAGGAGCGTTGAAAGGAGGAACCCAGGATGTAATGCTCGTAGGACTTAACTTTGTGTGTTTAAGTGACAGCTTGTTTGTGTTTGTGTATCCATACAGGTGAAACAGGTGACTTTGACAAAGGCCTCTGGATGTTGAGTGTACTGCAACTCAGGTGAAAGGTAAGAAGAGCTTTCCTCTACTTGACCACCATTGACCCTACTTGACCACCACTGTCATAATGAAAGAACTCAGATCAATTAGCAGTCTTATGATTTAACCTCTGTTGAAATGACTGCTGTTTTGTGTTCATATTCAACTTTATATTTTCCCTTGTAATTTTATTTTTATAAGTTATTTGGTGACTGAAGCTCATTAATCACTGTGGTGGTACTGCACAAAAAGAACATTGCGAGTATTTTTGCATTTAACGGTAAAGCATTTTGAGTGCTGATACAGGATTGATGTTTGTGTTGCATAGCTCTGACTTGAAGATTAATTTCACAGAACTCAGAAGATATCTGTGCTTTATTTAGAATCAGGGGGCAGGAACTGTTTCATTTTCCACAAGGCCGATTTGCTATAGATGGATTGAGATGAGATTGGCTGAGAGTACTTGTTCATCTTGCATATGGTTATAAAGTGTAATGACTAGGTACTGCTTCTTTTTCCGCCACCTATCTTTAGAAGATTGTGTATTTTGGTGACTTCTGACAAGATAATTGTACCGTGCACCGTCTATAATTATGTTGCTCATATAAAGTGTACAGGAGTCATTTGAGTGTTGTCTGAATATGGTACCTTCCTTTTAATTATTTTTTTTTCTTAGCACGATAATCTGATTGACATCTGGATCACAGCACAGTTTCTTAAACTAAAACAAATACCAAATAAACGTGCAGAGTTGAAGATGTATGTTAACCTTTGGCTTGAACAACTGGCTGTGCCTCCTTTAACAGAAATAACGCAAGCATACATTTCTTGTAGTTGCAGATCAGACACATACAATGGTCAGGAGGAGTTTTGGACCATTCTCTTCACCAGACTCGTTCAGTTCAGCACTATTCTTGGGATGTCCGGTGTAAATCGCTTTAATTAGGTCATGCCACAGCATCTCAATCGGGCTGTGGTCAGTATGCTGCCTCTTAAAGGTGTAATTTCTTCTGTTGAATTGATTAATTTGTTGATTTACTTATGCCCTGCGAGTCATTGTTGCCGTATGCTCTTTTGTTAAACTGTAATTGGCAGACTGATGGTCTTTAGTTTTCTTGCATGCAAATGTCTTGATAAACGTTGGAATAAATTTGTCCGTCAATGATAAGAACTTGTCAAGGCCCCGAGGAAGCCAAGCAGTTCCAGTTGTGACGTGGAACATCCAGGCACTTTTGGAAATTTAAACTGGAGCAATGGTTTTATGGACGGCAGCGGCTACATCCCTCGCATCATTCCATGATATCCGTTCTTGTTGAATATCTTAATTTATCGTAGATTTGACAACTGGAATGTTAAATTGTGCCACAGATTCCTTGTTTTATGATGACGTATTCAAGGCTCGTAATAACTTTGTGTCTTTGCTGACCAGTTTTGGTAACCACTGACTTCATTTGAGGAGAAACTTTCTCTATTTGAGGAGGAATACTATACAGTATCTTCTATTTTATCATGTCAACTGAACAGGTCAAACACAGGTTGTCCTGTGGGCACTACTATAGTAAATCATTTGGGCACTATTAAGACAGCTGATTTGTAGCTTTAGGGCTTATTTCATAGAAGCCCTGTTCAGCCGAATGAAAAGCTGTTCCAGATTTACCTCCAAGGTTGGATTGTATTGGAGCAATATTTTTATATAAAAGATGTATAGTTTTCTATCACTTTTTTCTTTTCTTTTCCTTTTTTGTGCTTGTGTTCTTTGTATGGACCTGTTTCTGCAATAAACAATCATTGCATATATAAATAAAACACTGCCACACGTGGAGCCTGAAAATATAGCTAAATTGTTGTGGAAGTAACCAGTTCAAGGTGTACCCCGCCGACTGCCCGAATACAGCTGGGATAGGCTCCAGCACGCCCGCAACCCTTGTGAGGATAAGCAGTTTGGAAAATGGATGGATGGGTGTTCTGGAAGTGAATTTTTACAGGTTGGCAGCTGTGAAGCAGTATAAAATAATTGTTGGGTTTCAAGGCTGTTTTCATAGGGTCTTCACTTTCCCTAATGGAAGACTTTTCTCATAAAAGAGTCCGTGTCATCTGCCAGTCTAAACTGGATAATTTTCTGCTATGCTGGCATTCACCTTCTGAACCATATCACGTGCCTTCAGGGAGAGGGCGTACCAGGGTAAAAGATTCAATGTGGTTATGGATTGCTCCAGCCGTACAGAACAATGACTGTCCTTTTTTAAATTCAGTTTTGGCTGGAAGGCGTTCTCGTCATTCAAATCCCTTAAATATGCCTTCGCCATTGGTAATACCCAGAATAGAACATTACCACGTATCCTCCCAGAGAGCATCACAAATTGCCACTATGTCTTTTGTAACATTTTGTTTTTTGCAATCTACAATTGTAATGTTATTTTTCTTTTTCCAAACCTTGCCATACTGTCAAGAAAGTCACGTATTTATTTTGTTTATTTATTAACCTTTATATATCCAGGTAAGGAAAGGTATTTGCAATTCCGGCCAGGTTACAGGTAGTAAAATATCCATTTTCTGATCCGCTTTATCCTCACGTGTCACGGGGGTGCTGGAGGCTATGCCAGCTGTCTTCGGGCAGTACCCTGACCCGGTTGCTAGCCAATCGCAGGGCACACGCAGGCGAACGACCATCCACATTCACACTCACATCCTCAGTGTTGGAGGAAACCGGAGTACCCGGCGAAAACCCACACAGGCACGGGGAGAACATCCAAACTCCACACAGGAAGGCCGGAGCCGGGATCGAACCCACAACCTCTGCACTGTGAGGTCGATGCGCTAACCACTTGAGAACCCAACCTTGTTCTTCTTTTTCTTCCATGTCACCAAAGGGACTGTGTAACCCCCATACCCCTGCTTGAAAGAAAACCGATTTGACTTGTTGAAATCTTTTCATCTTGCTTCACAACGCACTAATCCAACTCCTGTTTATTCAAATCTGAACAGGACATGACGTTGAACCATACTACTGGCACAGTGATAAAATGTTGCATATGTACATGGTGGGTCACAAGACAGACACAAGTGTAAGACTGATCAATTTGCTCACATCTCTTTGAGGATGGTGGCTGCTATGAATCTAGTTGACCACCAGGTGTCACCAATAATGTCTACTTTATAAGGCTTTGAGGCTTTGACTCGTTTTTTTTCCACATCAGTATGCAAAGGCCTCAAAAGTTTCACAAAGCTTCAATAGCCCATTTCTAGCAAATTATAGTCCTTAAACTACAGTATATATCTGGAGAACACAGTGTAGCCTTCTCGACAGTTCGAGCCTACAAACACCCATGCTCCATTTACCTTTGTGTCTTACAGTCTAATTGACCAGTCTCAATTATAAACAAGTTTAATCATCCATGTGCTGAGAGCCACGACTCTCGGCAGTTATTAAAGCTGGGCAATAAATATTTAGCTTTTTTGTCAGTGCTCATGCAGTCGGATGGTGGAAAAAAACACCAAGATGATACATTTTAACAGCCCAAGTGACTCAAATTGCAATGCCATTGTGTCGGTCTTGAAACTCCCAATTGACTACACTTTGCCCCATGAAGATGCATCCCATTAGTTAATAGAGGCACTTTAAATCCACAGCACTCTGCTTGTGGATGTCTGAGAGCCTGGTGGAGTAGCATTTGCTAGGGGCTGTCTGTTGAGAGTGATGAGGGGGCTGAGCATGAAGTGATCAGGGGGTGGAACACACTCTGTCTTCATTCAAAGACAATGTGCAGTCTGAGCATAGTGACCAAAAAAAAAAAAGATCAAGTAGTTCTTGGATGCAAAAATAATGGCAATAACTGAATATTTTATTCATATTTTCCTCTGTTGTGTCATTTTTACCTGTCCTTTTCACAGAGAGGGTGAGCTAATTGTTAGGATGAAGGAAGAGAGTTTGTACCACCGTCGGTTGTCTTTGTGTCCAAATGCAACTTCCCCACCCAAAATTGACCCCCGCACCCTCACAAGAAACCTTTCTTGTGGAGGAGACAGTGACCTCTACAACCTCAGCTCAGGTAAGAAGCCACATACAAAAGACTGCAGCTGTTCATTAGCCACTTTGGCCCAGTCATGCTTATACAGTCTGTCAGCTGACTGGCTCCCTCGGTTCATGTGTCTGTGTGTGTGACTATGTGTTGTGGGTTCCCACCAGGCAGTGAGACAGACAGGCACGATATCTCCATGATGACTAATGAACTTAGTCCTGCCCAATCACCAGGCAGCAAGGTAAGAACCCATTCCTGATTGGGCAATTCCCTCACAGCTTCCCCAACATTTTTTTTTCATGTCAATACCACCTGATCAATTGTTTAAGGTAAATTTGCAGCACTCTGCTGTGGTTGGGAAAAGAAACTGTGGAATTGTTTTTGTCAGGGCCATGTGGGAACCACAGGCATATTAACTGTAACCTAGACCTTTTCGACATGGTGCTGCCTCTCGTATTGCTGTGCGCTTTGTCCCTTTGTCTCACTTTGTTTCAAGTCATCCTATCTGTTTCATTCATTTCGTTTAAAGTTGTTGCAAATATCAACTAGGATTAGTTAAGACAAGTTTCACTGGCATATAGATCTCTTGTTTATGCTCCTCTTGATGCTTTTTCCTCTGCACTTACGTTTACATGTGAAGAAAG